GAATATAAGCTCACCTGCCACGTCAAGGCAAGCTTCAATAGGTGAGTCTTACACTAGCCATTAGATATGCTGTTATCAGCCAAGAATCTCTACCAAAACCGGAAGGGGTGTTTTATAAACCTTTTCACATTTAACCCTTTATAGGGCTTCTACACATACAATAAACTTTGCTGATATCAGACAATTAAACATCTCTAATGAGACAGGAAGGGGCGTTTTATAAACCTCTACATACTTATTAACCCTAAATGGGCTATAACACATACAAATCACCTTGCTGGTATCAGCTAAAAGGCAAATTTCTTTGTTGAGACAGGAAGGGGTGCTGCCCCTACATACTTATAAAGTCTTAATAAGACAAACGTGGGAAGGCTGGCAGCAACGTAACATAGCTGTGTGATACAGAAATCATATACAAACACAGAGAGAAAGCACCGCGCTTACAGCAGCAGCAGCTTAGAATCCAACAGCTTAAAATACATAGTTACCTGCGCTCTGGCCTAAATCCCTATGTACATTTAAATTAATTTGGTTAAATGTATATAGGGATTTAAGCCAGAGCGCAGGTAACATTCCCTTTGTATTTTGAGCTGTTGGATACTAAGCTACTGCGGCTGTAAGCGCGGTGCTTTATTTTGTGTTTTGTATATGATATTCCAGGCATCTACTACCCTTTCTATATCCCTGAATCCACCGGAAGGCTTTTCTAGGCGTCTACTACCCTTTCTATATCACTGTTAGCCTTTACTGCTCCCACTGGAAGGCTATTCCATGTATCTACTACCCTTTCTATATCACTGTTACTGCTCCCACTGGAAGGCTATTCCATGTATCTACTACCCTTTCTATATCACTGTTACTGCGCCCACTGGAAGGCTATTCCAGGTATCTACTACCCTTTCTATATCACTGTTACTGCTCCCACTGGAAGGCTATTCCAGGTATCTACTACCCTTTCTATATCACTGTTACTGCTCCCACTGGAAGGCTATTCCAGGTATCTACTACCCTTTCTATATCACTGTTACTGCTCCCACTGGAAGGCTATTCCAGGTATCTACTACCCTTTCTATATCACTGTTACTGCTCCCACTGGAAGGCTATTCCAGGTATCTACTACCCTTTCTATATCACTGTTACTGCTCCCACTGGAAGGCTATTCCAGGTATCTACTACCCTTTCTATATCACTGTTACTGCTCCCACTGGAAGGCTATTCCAGGTATCTACTACCCTTTCTATATCACTGTTACTGCTCCCACTGGAAGGCTATTCCAGGCATCTACTACCCTTTCTATATCACTGTTACTGCTCCCACTGGAAGGCTATTCCAGGTATCTACTACCCTTTCTATATCACTGTTACTGCTCCCACTGGAAGGCTATTCCAGGTATCTACTACCCTTTCTATATCACTGTTACTGCTCCCACTGGAAGGCTATTCCAGGTATCTACTACCCTTTCTATATCACTGTTACTGCTCCCACTGGAAGGCTATTCCAGGTATCTACTACCCTTTCTATATCACTGTTACTGCTCCACTGGAAGGCTATTCCAGGTATCTACTACCCTTTCTATATCACTGTTACTGCTTCACTACTACCCTTTCTATATCACTGGACTGCTCCCACTGGAAGGCTATTCCAGGTATCTACTACCCTTTCTATATCCCACTAAGGCTATTCCAGGTATCTACTACCCTTTCTATATCACTGTTACTGCTCCCACTGGAAGGCTATTCCAGGTATCTACTACCCTTTCTATATCACTGTTACTGCTCCCACTGGAAGGCTATTCCACCCTTTCTATATCACTGTTACTGTATCTATCTACTACCCTTTCTATATCACTGTTACTGCTTCCACTGGAAGGCTATTCCAGGTATCTTCTACCATTTTATATCACTGTTACTGCTCCCACTGGAAGGCTATTCCTGGTATCTACTACCCTTTCTATATCACTGTTACTTGCTCCCACTGGAAGGCTATTCCAGGTATCTACTACCCTTTCTATATCACTGTTACTGCTCCCACTGGAAGGCTATTCCGGTATCTACTACCCTTTCTATATCACCGTTACTGCTCCCACTGGAAGGCTATTCCGGGTATCTACTACCCTTTCTATATCACTGTTACTGCCCCCACTGGAAGGCTATTCCAGGTATCTACTACCCTTTCTATATCACTGTTATTGCTCCCACTGGAAGGCTATTCCAGGTATCTACTACCCTTTCTATATCGCTGTTACTGCTCCCACTGGAAGGCTATTCCAGGCATCTACTACCCTTTCTATATCACTGTTACTGCCCCCACTGGAAGGCTATTCCAGGCATCTACTACCCTTTCTATATCACTGTTACTGCTCCCACTGGAAGGCTATTCCAGGCATCTACTACCCTTTCTATATCACTGTTACTGCTCCCACTGGAAGGCTATTCCAGGTATCTACTACCCTTTCTATATCACTGTTACTGCTCCCACTGTAAGACTATTCCAGGTATCTACTGTTATTCTGTAAAATTACAATACATCACAATCGGTTTTGCACTCTGATCGGGCTATTAACGAATTCAAAGTGAATTTCAAGTTGTAAGTTTAACTAGCTTAACTGAAAACAGATGGTGTGAAATTCACTTTGAATTCCCTTCAATTCACACTTTAGTGAATGCCTCACCTCAAGGGGAATTCTGGTCTCTTTTTCAATCAATCTCTATTTGTGTTTTATATCGGTGACTGTATGTTTATACCATTTAACGCATGTTCATTCGATTGTAAATGCCAGTTTTGGTGATCTGGATAGTGTCACGTTGGCAGGCAGATAGAAATTAGCAGCGCAGTCACAAAACCATAACCACATACAGTGCATGAGGCGGTGTTTAAAATTAACCCCTTCATTTCTTTACCAATAGGGAGCCCGCTCTTCCATACTGCATTAACCCCTTCATTACTCAAGGGGCGCATGGTGTCTTCCATTTTATTATCCCCTTCATTCCTTTAGCCATGTGGAGACTTATCTTTCCCAGGGCATTAACCCTTTATTTCTTTCCATGCCTGTATTCTGTATATAACCTCTCTGTGGGAATAACTTATTCCAGGGGCCAGTTATTCAGTGTCTTACATTCCATGAAAGGCTGTACAGTAGCAGATTAGGTCAATTATTTTCCTAGATTTTTACCTGTGATCTGTCCATTTACTTGTTTATTCAGAAGGGATCCAGCAAACCGGCATTGTGGGAAATTAACAGGAGAATGGCAAAGTTTACGCCAAACCAGACCTTCCAGAAACGGTTGCGTTAGAGAAGTTTCTGTTTCAACTTAAACTAAAATATGAAATAAAGTTCAAAGTGTGTCTATGTGTGTCCTTGGATCATACTCTGTGGACTAATATACAAAAGTACTGTTTAACCCCTCTGGGGGCAGAGTCATAAGAAGTGGGGCATGGTTCACTAGGCAGAAAGTGGCAGAAGTGATAAATTCATAATAAAGACAGAACAATGTCCATAATTCAGGGATCCAACAGCGATATTCTGAGACTGACAGATGGCAGCCGGGCACTGCGCAGGACAGAGAAATCTAAGCATATTCTACCCGGAAATAATATTCTAAGCGTAAATTATTCTGTATTCAAAACCGAACCCAACATTTACACAATAACCAGACAGGATGTTCAATGTCATATTTTAATCATATTCCACGTTTGGTTTTTCAATAATAACAATATTTAATAATTAACAGTACAGATCTAAAGGGGAAGAAATCCACAACTTCTCTGTTTCTTTGTTAAGAAGTTAGCATCAATTACCTCCATCAGACACAAACTCATACAATGCTACACAATAACACAAAAACGAAGAACAGAAAAAAAAAGAAAATATCTTTCTTATAGACAGTACGGGACGTAGTAAGCTCTTTTTGTGGGCTCGAGTAGAAGCCTTTGTCAAATAAATTAGTTTGATTTACAAGTGTTATTGGCCTGTAATATTGTAATATCTCTATCATCTATCATCTGTTGTGGTGGCGGTCATCATCGTCTATTTGTTAACTTCATTATTAGGAAAACCCTCTGCTGGCTGTGTTTTGTGGACTCTTATGAAGAGCTTTCTCTTCTCCAAAAAGATCATTTAGAAGACAAGGCACAGTGATCGACCTGCTGGATCACTGGAAGGTTTCACATGAAAGAAAATCTCCAAGAATCATAATAAATAATGAATTGATCTTCGAGGGCAGGATTTATCGGAACATGTACTATTTACAAAATATAGAATAACCTTCCCGAGTCCTTTATTCACTTCCTCCTTAACTAAATCCAGTTAAATGTACAGATATAGTCTGTTTATGGAACATTCTTACTGCCCACAAAACCATTCCTGATTAACCCTGTAGACTAGAATATTGATTACTTCATTTCTTGATTTGATTTAAAAATAATGTTAAATATGGATGACGAGTCCTGTCTTCAGGGCCGTAAATGTGTTGGTGGCCGGGTAACGGGAAATCACTTATTAAAATATACTTTTCTTGAACTCTAAAGACAAAGATTAATGGGATCTTAAGACTATGTATGTGGTGGAAAGCAGATCATCTGGACCCAGGTGTGAGGGTCCAACGTATCCGACCATTGGTTAGTTAGACTCAGACAGCCTCTGAAATAGAGTTTGCAGAATTTGTACCTCAAACCAAAGTGCTTTTCTAAAACCCCCTGTGTCTTTGTTATAACCTCTCACCAGGTTTATGCATGCTTAGCCTAGAGATTATCACCTCTCAAATGAAAATAAAACACAACCTGCACCCTAAATGATCATTAAATAAAAATAACTTCTGTTTAAGCTTCAGTTCTTTGAAATGCCACCAGCAATAAGAGCAATTGAGAATGAAAAGCTTTATAATGGTTGTACGTTCGTTTTTTTTCTGGGCAGAATCAAGTTTCCTGTGAGGGTGACTCCTGTCGAATCGCACTGACATGTAAAGATCCCCATGATGATAATGGCCGCTCTCCTTTCTGGATCACAAAACCTGGAATTTCCAAGAGCTCTGGTCCTTATAATCAAGGCAGTCAGTGGCATTGAAATTAAGCTTCCAAGAGGCCGTTTGGTCTTTGTAGTCTAAGCAATCCACTGAGGTGAAGCCAAGGCTGGAAGCCCCATATCCCTGTGCAGAAAGTGATGCCGGAGACTGACTTAGATGGCTACCCATGGTAGGGGTGGCAATCGGACTTAGTGTGGCCCCAGGAGCTGACAACTGTGGGTGCATAGGAGATAAGTAGGAGCCACAGTCTAGACCAGTGAAATAAGATGATGACCCCCCATAGCTCTGGGTGTAGGCTGGAGCCTGGCTGTATGTCATGGGATACCCGGCAGATCTTTGCATGCAGGGGGTTGTGCCTGCAGACAGAGGGTCCGGGATTGGAGAGATTGAGGCTGGACTCCATATAGAAACAGTGGCGCTAGCTGAAGAGCTAGGGGTCACTGCTGTTCCAGGAGGTGGAGGGCTGTATTGGCCATTGGTGCTGGCCTCTGAGTTAGTCTCTCGTGCTGGGGACGTTTTCTTCTTTGTAGGCCGAGGTTTAGCTTGTCCACTGCTCTGCTGCTGCTGCTGGCGACATTTGGCCCGTCTATTCTTAAACCAAACCTAAATCAAAGGTTGAGAAGAACAGACAAATTGGAGTTATAAATTATTTTTATATAAATGGATGAAGATTAATGATAAAACCTTAATTTACCCTACCACTATTTAATACATTCCTAATAAGATCTCACCTAGAGCATTGTGTTCAGTTCTGTAGAGCAGATCCCAGGAGGACATAGAGAGGTAGTGATAGTACTTTATAGATCCTGGTAAGGTCTCACCTAGAGTATTGTGTTCAGTTCTATAGAGCAGATCCCAGGACATAGAGAGGTAGTGATAGTACTTAATAGATCCCCGGTAAGATCTCACCTAGAGCATTGTGTTCAGTTCTATAGAGCAGATCCCAGGAGGACATAGAGAGGTAGTGATAGTACTTTATAGATCCCTGGTAAGATCTCACCTAGAGTATTGTGTTAATTTCTATAAAGCAGTTCTTAGGAGGACATCGAGAGATAGTGATAGTACTTTATAGATCCCCGGTAAGATCTCACCTAGAGTATTGTGTTCAGTTCTATAGAGCAGATCCCAGGAGGACATAGAGAGGTAGTGATAGTACTTTATAGATCCCCGGTAAGATCTCACCTAGAGTATTGTGTTCAGTTCTATAGAGCAGATCCCAGGAGGACATAGAGAGGTAGTGATAGTACTTTATAGATCCCCGGTAAGATCTCACCTAGAGTATTGTGTTCAGTTCTATAGAGCAGATCCCAGGAGGACATAGAGAGGTAGTGATAGTACTTTATAGATCCCTAGTAAGATCTCACCTAGAGTATTGTGTTAATTTCTATAAAGCAGTTCTTAGGAGGACATCGAGAGATAGTGATATCATTTGAGATAGTGATTGCAAAAAAACCTTTCAAATTAAATGTATCTGTACAGCAATTACAATAATGCATAAATATACCAAGATAAACACTTTGCACGACATGGGGCACTTATCAATAGAAGCCATTGTGGCTGAGTAAGCTTATTACCTGTACTCGTGACTCGGGCAGATTTATCTTTAGAGCCACCTCCTCTCTCATAAAGATGTCCGGGTACCGGGTTTTAGCAAAAAGGGCTTCCAATATATCCAGCTGAGCTCTGGTAAAAGTTGTCCGTTCTCGTCTCTGTTTCCGGGGAGTAGCTGAGAATGAAGGAGAGAAGTTATAGAAAGGAAAGGCAATGTGAAGGATAGTAGATGATTGAAAATACCTAGTATTAGAGTCTAAATCAAACTGGAAATTGTGTATATATCACATTACTGTATGTATATCCTGTCACATCTCCCCGGGAGCTAGCACTCAGTCTATTAATTCTTTATTTGCCGGGTTGCACTATGCATTGCAGATAAGTGTTTTAACACCGGTATAATATAACATGGAAGTCTGTATACTAGAACATTTACTAACTAAAAAAACAATACAAAAAAGAACCCCTATCTCCTTTCCCTTATTCACTCTTCTAATTATGCAATTTGCATAATCAATTTCAGCTTAACAGGTTTTCAGGGAATGATAAAAACTAACAATTTATGTAGTCCTTTTCAAAGTTGGCTGCCTTCATGATGCAGAAGATAAACTTATTAAAGAAATCACTTAATTGATATGATTAACTGCACTAATTAGTCTTTCAAACTCAGACACAAATATTTACCAAAACCTAATTAAACAGATCCTGCAGATAATAGTACAAATTCATACAAAAAAAATTCCAGGTTAATGATTTTGTGATAGTGATATGTAGTGTATTTTTATAATATATCATTTATAAAATATCTTTATTAATGGTTTCATAATATAATGGAGACCGAACTGGACTTTCAGTATATAAACTGCCCCAGAACAAACGTATACAATTCAGGGTTCTGACCGGTTCCAGAATAAAGTGTTTCAAACATTTAGAATTAACAACAAATATCCAGGTTTAAACTATAATTCATTATTTTTAAACAATTTAAAAAATTTGTATTCTTAGCATAAATAAAATTGCATTGATTTTCCTCACGGTCATTTAATTTACATTTTATAGTACAGATTTTAGTCTGATCCTTAGTTACTTTGTTAGGACATTCTTTTTAAACTTAATTACCAAAAGTAAGGATTGGGATTTATAGGGGTGTTCCATTAGTAAACATTGAAACGTTATCTTTTAACTAAAAGTTTATAATGTTATTGAATTATAATTTTCATTTTTTTTTATCATCCTATCGATTTATTTCAGGTTATATATGTTGGCCAAATACGGAGGTCAAATAGCTTAAACTTAAAAAGCAATTGTTTAAAGATTTTTTTTTTTTACTATTTTACAATTTACTTTATAAACTTATACATACGTTTGGACAGATCTTGGGCATGAATTAATTTTAATATATAATAGAAATTAATTGCTTATGATATATATTTAATTACTACATTTTAAACCTAACAAAAATGTTTAATCCTGAAAATTATTAATGACAGCATATTTCCATATAATAATTGTTGGCCAATATCATTAAGATGTATCTCACATATAATAATTGTTGGCCCATATCATTACGATGCATCCCCCCATATAACAATTGTTGGCCCATATCATTACCATGTATCCCCCATATCGCAATTGTTGGCCCATATCATTAGGATGGATGCACGTTCCGTAATCCCAGAATGAATTTTAACTATAAGCACGATGTCGGTATGAAGGCAGTAGAAGACCTACCTGGATAGCCTACGGCTGAGTGCAGTAGATCCATTCCTGTACCAGCTAATGTCAGTCCATTCACTGCATAGTGAGGTTGTTTAATATAGGACATCATTTCAAAAAAATGTGGATCGAAGGTCTGTCTTGTATCTAGGGGAGTTGGGTAAGCCGTTCTCCAAACTTCGTTGATATCCAAATATCTGTGTCAGGCCAATGCTCAGATTTTCTTACCGGAGTCTGTAAGTTATAGACAGAAGTGGTAAAACTCAATCAATCTCAACTGGGTTTAGAGCAAAAGGTATATGATCCTTAATAGTCTACAGTGGTATATCCTGAGGGTCCAGAGCTGGGGTGTAGACTGAACAGGTGAGACCAATGATTCCTTTAAAGACTCTCCCCCTTCATACCACTAACTAATTTAAGGAAGGGCTTCCAGTCAATCCACGCCCAATGCACCCCTCCCCCACAATACTCTCCCCCCCCCCCCACAAGCCCTCCATGGGTTGAGGTGGAGAGCTTACATGGAGAAAAGGTGGGACAATTCAATAGACAAGATGTACATTTACATGGAAATTTCGACAAACTATCATAACATATCATTACTTGTGGACCTGTCGAGTTGGATGTTCATGTGGCCAATGTAGTGTAAGGTCTATTCTAAACCAGTTAGTGTCCCATCAATCTCTTAACACTAGAGGGTCCAAATAAAGTTCCTGAACTCAGAACAGAAATATTAACATTGAAATATAGGGGAAGGGTTTAAAGAACCACCAAATGAAGTCTCTTTTGTGGAAATTCTGGATGATCGGGTCCCCAGGATGGAATTATTGAAGCTTTATTAAAGGGTTTACATTGTCATACATGCAGTTTATTCTTCATGATGTAGATTGGAAGAATCATCCATACACTGACCCCCCACACCTTGTCATTCATAGTCAAAGCCCCTCCTTGCAGTTTGGTCCCCGGGGGGGTAATGACATAGCACAATAGTCACTCATGGGGTCTAGGTGACACAAAGGGTTTATTTAACATAGAAATAAATGGCAATGTGTCCCCTCCTGAGCTCCTATTACAACTTTTTGTTTTGAGAGTCAATGACTATCACCTAGGCTGTGTTAATTCCCTGCTAATTGGGTAAACAGCTAGGAGTCCCGCAGACTGTAACCCTGGGGGGATCTCACTCGTTTATCTAGAAATAACAGAACTGGGCTTTTCGTGTGATTGCAATGAGTGCTCCATGGGGTGCAACATACCCTCAATCTGTGGGGCCTATGCTCTGGGGGCTCATCCTAGCAGAGGGGATTAAGATGGCTGAGAGTGTTGAGTCTTACAAAAAGAGAGGGCATGTTTGCTTTAGCATGATAACAGACATTATGTTTAAAGTCCAACACTCTCTTGTTATAGCCCTGGCATTGGATAGCCTGGCACTCTCTTGTTATAGCCCTGGCATTGGATAGCATGGCACTCTCTGGTTATAGCTCTGGCATTGGATAGCATGGCGCTCTCTGGTTATAGCTCTAGCATTGGATAGCATGGCGCTCTCTGGTTATAGCCCTGGCATTGGATAGCATGGCGCTCTCTGCTTATAGCCCTGGCATTGGATAGCATGGCGCTCTCTGGTTATAGCCCTGGCATTGGATAGCATGGCGCTCTCTGGTTATAGCTCTGGCATTGGATAGCATGGCACTCTCTGCTTATAGCCCTGGCATTGGATAGCATGGCACTCTCTGGTTATAGCTCTGGCATTGGATAGCCTGGCACTCTCTGGTTATAGCTCTGGCATTGGATAACATGGCACTCTCTGGTTATAGCCCTGGCATTGAATAGCCCTGGTACTCTCTGTTTATAGCCCTGGCATTGAATAGCCCTGGCACTCTTTGGTTGGACCATCGTGTATACATGAAAAAAGGTTTAGCACAAGCTAAAGGTGACTTTCAATATTTTATTCAAGGATGTAAAATTCCAGAGAAAATACTGATTGGCATTTGTATACAAATACCAGATTAAAACTGAATAAATACTGGGAAGGAATATATCACGTCGTTAATGGATTAATTGAATGGAGAATTATCATGATTACTCTTTTCGATGTGCCCCCAGTAGCCTCTTGTGATGTACCAAGCCCCCTAATACCTCAAACTCTCTTTTCACATATTTAGCCTCAAATAGTTTACTTTTGTCACTTATTAATGACATCTTCCTTGCTATGGGATTAAGGAGTCATTATCACCTGCATTTAGGTAATTACTTCCCTATATCCATGAGTCCAACTGCCCAGGCAAGGGCAGGAATTTACAGAGAGTCAGACTGGGAGGCATTGTACTTAATTAACAATACTTATCTGTATCCAGGGCTGGGCTGCATGTAACAAGGAGGTATCCCTATCACTGTGTAAATCACTCAATCCAGATCACTGATAGCAGTCATTCAGGGTATATCAGATAAAAGCATCTTACTGCCATTAATTAATAGGTTTTAAACTCCGCTCCAGGAGCTTATTGATCACAATAAAGATATTGTTGAAATATATTGGTTTTAAGATAAATGCTAAATTAAAAAAGTATATTGGTCAAATGTCAACATATTGCCTATGTTATATGTATGTATGTATGTATGTATGTTTATGCCTATGTATATATATATATGTATGTATGCCTCTGTGTGTGTGTGTGTGTGTGTGTGTGTGTGTGTGTGTGTGTATCTAGGTGTGTGTGTGTGTCTGTGTGTGTTTATTGTGTATGTGTGTTTTTGTGCCTGTGAGTGTCTGTGTGTCTGTGCATATATGTCTGTGTGTGTGTGTGTGTGTGTGTGTCTGTGTGTGTTTATTGTGTATGTGTGTTTTTGTGCCTGTGAGTGTCTGTGTGTCTGTGCATATATGTCTGTGTGTGTGTGTGTGTGTGTGTATATCTAGGTGTGTGTGTGTGTGTTTATTGTGTATGTGTGTTTTTGTGCCTGTGAGTGTCTGTGTGTCTGTGCATATATGTCTGTGTGTGTGTGTGTGTGTGTGTGTGTGTGTGTGTGTGTGTGTGTATAATTAATGTAATTGTAATATTATAACAAATATTGAGGATTTATTGGCTTTAAGGGAGTTTGCCAAAGTGAACAAAATGTTTAGGTTTCTTTTTTGTTTTTAGGTGAACTCTGCCGAGTACAGAGAGTAGGTGATAGCTCTGTGAGTGCAGACAGCAAGTGATGGGATCTGTGAGTACAGGCAGTAAGTGATGGAATCTCTGCTGAGTACAGACTGTTAGTGATGGGATCTCTGCTGAGTACTGACTGTTGTTAGTGATGGGATCTGTGAGTACAGGCAGTAAGTGATGGAATATCTGCTGAGTACAGACAGTAAGTGTTGGGATCTGTGAGTACAGGCAGTAAGTGATGGGATCTGTGAGTACAGACTGTTAGTGATGGGATCTGTGAGTACAGGCAGTAAGTGATGGGATATCTGCTGAGTACAGACTGTAAGTAATGGGATCTGTGAGTACAGGCAGTGAGTGATGGGATCTCTGCTGACTACAGACTGTGGGTAGTCAGCAGAGATCCCATAATGGTATTTCTTCTGAGTGCAGACAGTAGATTTTTGCTTCATGACAGTTTTGGACTAGGTTGGACTAGGTAGACCTGTGTCAGAAGGATGTCAGAGTGGTACATTTCTAATTATCCAAGTGATCAGTCAATTTGTCTCTGCTTGTATGGAAGGACTCCCAAATAATAAGATGTAAGCTGACTGCCCAGGCTTTGACATATAAAGGCCCAATACTATTCTAAGAAAACTGCCTCTAACAAATGACTCCATGAATGCTAACAGAATCACACTGTGTTAATAAATCCCCATTCCTTACCTTAATGTCAGGAGAAGTCAGAATCTTATCCAGTACTACACCGCCTGCAAAACAAGGGAAAACAAAACGGTGAGGTGTCTCCTTTGTCCCCCAATAATAATAATCATAGAAATACAAGTTTAGGGAGTCGTTTTGCTGGGTAACAAAGTCTGAGTAAATACCTCAGCTTTGGCCTTCTCCAATCCCGGATTCGGGATTTAATTTCAGAAAGAGCCAGCGTGTGACTGTCTCCGCCAGGGGCCTGCGAGGGTTAAAGGTTGGTAGGGGTGCCAATTAGCAAGCTTGTGGGACTAGGAATCACAGTGGATTAATCATTCCATTCAAAGAAAAGAGCATTGTTTTATGGAATTTAGGGGATTAACCCTTCACCGTCACAACACGATAACCCCCTAAAAGCCATTACTGTACCACCTCTACATGTGTCTGTCATCTCATTTACTTCTAGATATTTCTACTCTTCTATTCTCCCCCTCTCCTCTGATCAGGTCTCAATTTAATATTTTTGAATAATCTCTTCCAACGATCACAATCTGTTAGAAAAAAAAACTTTTCAAATGAAATATCTAAAGAAGTCACTACTAACGACTGTGGGAATATTGTAGATAAATAATTTTGAAAAGTTTATAGATTGTGATAGTTTGAAAAGATTAAATCGAGGACTTACTCGGGGTGTCTCCTATCTGTTCATTTCTTGTACCTTTTTTACCATTCTGTTTATTTTAGAATGAGTTTATAGATATCGTATCCTTAGACTTTATTCTTTCTTCTTGTAAAAATCCTTTATTCTGTTTAAATGGATAATGTTTTATAAAATGCTGTTACGTTCTGCTATTTTGGCTGAATATGTTACAAAAATGTAGCTTTACTATAAACAAACCATTCAGAATTCAACATTTTTAAAGGATTTGCTAAACTTCACCAACTGCAAACCTCTGACCGGTATCTCCTAGTCTTCAATATTATACTTTTATATATTTAAATTAGATTGCAAGCTTCAGGGGATAGAATAGCTTTTTTTTGTCCACATGCAAACACCATTACACTGAAAGTCAAGCTCCCAAGTCTATGTTTAATACCCAGCCTCTGAATTGCAAGTTCTGGGGACAAGGACACTCTGCACGGTTGCTGTTAACATTGTAAATCCAGACATGGTGTTACGCGATAACGATAGATGTCTAGAGTGCAAGCTCTGGAGACCAGGACATGCTGCACAGTTTGCCGTTACCATTGTAAACCTAAATGGTGTCGTATGGTTACGATAGATGTCAAGCTGCAAGCTCTGCAGCCCACATCACTCCTCTCCAATATTTAGGTTGCACTATTTGTGGGCTACACTTTCGTGCTTGCTATGTGTTTTTAAAAACCTGGTAGAAAACCGTAGACGTCGCCTTATTCCTACATTGTGTTTATTTCTATATATGTGATAGAAAAAAGATAAATAACAATAAACATGTAAATATATATATAAACCCGAGATAGAAAAAGTGAAAGCTCTGTCTTATTACATCAGAAACATGAGTTTAAGATGAATTTCTGCAGATTTAGGACATGAATATTTTTCACTCACGTGTAATAATGGGAGCCCCGTGTCACCTTTATAATTTGAATTCTGGGGTACCTTTTCCATCCAAAAGTCTAGTATCAAGCGATCAAGTAAGGATCTCGCACTGGGCGTAGGAAATTTCTTCTTATAAAATATGTGAGATCGTTGGTTTAAAACATGTCAGGGCCTCAGCTATTTAAAAACTAAAAAATTCCCATAAAACGTATAACCGGAAAATGGGCATGTTGGAACTCTGAACGCATTCATTAAATTTGTCATCATTTATACTGCAGCGGGCATAAGGGCTCTACGTCTATAGACATAATATCAAGATTGTATTTCATTTATGTTTCAAATATCTCTAAATATAAACACACACTGACTATTATTATTATCGCCATTTATATAGCGCCAGCAGATTCTATAGCGCTTTACAATATTATTAGGGGGGGTTTAACTATAAATAGGACAATTCCCAGAAAACTTACAGGAACGATTGGTTGAAGAGGACCCTGCTCAAACGAGCTTACAGTCTATAGCGTTCAATGTTTTCGATTTAAATGACCGATGCGTGTCAGCATTTAAGGTAGACTGAATATACTAATGTATACTATAAAATGTAAATGAAAATAACACTATATTAAAAAATAAATGTTATTTAGGGAAAATTATATTCAGTTAATGAATATATTTTATCTGTAAAATATACTGATGTTTTAATATATTCTTCATAATTAGTAAAGTTTGTTTTAGTCTATTGCATATAATAATAATTAGAACACAGCAGGTCTATTGTTAAATTGTAGTTGTACAAAAAGTTCTCAGTTAAACTGTGGATGGACATGCAGGGCACAGCTCACAGTTTACAAAGTGATGACAGACTGAGGCATTGTGTTAGCGAGTGCTTTATCGATGTATAAACCGATCTCCACAGGGTGGACACTAATTCACAAACTGACTGACACCTGGTATTGGACCGTGTCGCCAGTCTCTGAATATTAAACCCATTTCTGCTGCCTTTCTTTATAACGTCATTAGACCCCATAACATGCTCAGCAAAAAATATATCTTTCTACTTTTTTTTTTTAAAGAAATAAGGGAGAATAATAAAAAAAATATAAAATAAAATTTAAAACTTTCAGATAAATTATAAAAACAATAGAAATATATATATTTTTTAAACTAAATGTATATACATGTACATGTTTTCAAGCCAAATATCAAGAACCATGTTTCTTAAACTTTTTGCCAGAAACCGCATTGCCTGTAAAAAGTAAAAGTTGAATTTGATATCTAATGAAAATATTAAAAGATCTGTTTCTTAGCATTTCAATACTAGTCTAGTTACAAATATTCAAATTCATGTTGTTTGCGATTTAGAAATAATATATAAAAAATATAAAATATATATAGAAAAAAAATGTGATTTAAAAAAATATATATTTCTTTACTTGCAACATTTTGTGTCTGTAATAGTGTGTTTTTCTCTAGGTGGTATTTTATCTGTGACAAGTTCTGATGTGTCTCTTCCAGGAATCTTTCCAAAACTATTGTGTAAAAATATCTCAATCTTCATTTCAAAAGGGACATCTCTGTATAAAGAGACCCTTGTGTCTGTTTATTTCCTCTCTGCTGACCCCAACATGAAAGAAGTTAATCTAGATCAGAGGAGCAGAGCTGTATTATCGGGGTAAGGACTTTAAATCATTAGTCATAATTTTATCAGGGTGGCTAAACCTCTCTGTTTTAAATCTGGATCAGATATCCTGCGGATAGAAAAACTGAAAGGGGAACGTGAATCGGAGTCTTACCTCGGAGCTGAGAGGACGAGGAACAAGGAGTGCAGGTAGAGATGGGTGCTGCGCTCAGGTTACTGAGGAAGGAGATAGAGCGATGAGGGCGTCAAAAGAATATAAGAATCACCAAAGATAGTTGGGTGTCCATCTTTAAGCCGGAGGGGCAGTGATGTCATGGCACATTGTGTGAATTTCACTGGTTAATGTGCGGAGTGTGGCCGCGGGTAGGGGGTGAGAGGGAGGTGGTGGTGTAGTTGGGGGGGGGAGGGTAGAGTCTCGGTGGAGGTGACTTTGCCCGCTTGCCCACCCTGGCTCGTGTGCTGCGTGTGTTGACTTAATCCCAAGATGATATGCCGGGACCAATTAGTGTTTATCTCCCCAGACGGGATGCTGACACGTAGCCTCCCAAGGAAGGCCTACAGGGAGACAGATGTCCAGAGATGGGACTTTGGGGGGCTGGTGGTGGGTGCCCATCTGGTACAGTAAATTGTTTGTGCTAACAGGTGCTCTAACCAGTTGTTCTGATCTCATTCTTTCCAAAAATCACTGTTACCCTCATTGTATGTGTATACTGTTGTTCTATATGCCATCGTTCTACATGGCGTCATTCTATATATCGTTATTCTATATCCAATCATTCCTATATCCTGTCATTCTATATTGCATTATTCTTCACACTATCATTCTATATGGCATCATTCTATATATCATTATTCTATATCCCGTCATTCTATATCCCGTCATTCTATATCCCGTTATTCTATATCCAATCAATCTATATTGCATCATTCTATACACTATCATTCTATATGGCATCATTCTATATATCGTTATTCTATATCCCATCATTCTATATCCAATCATTCTAAATCCCATCATTCTATATCCCATCATTCTATATCCTGTTATTATATACACTATGATTCTATATTGCGTCATTCTATATCCAATCATTCTATATTGCATTATTCTTCACACTATCATTCTATATGGCATCATTCTATATATCGTTATTCTATATCCAATCATTCTATATCCCATCATTCTATATCCCATCATTCTATATCCCGTTATTCTATACACTATCATTCTATATTGTGTCATTCTATATCCAATCATTCTATATTGCGTCATTCTATACACTGTCATTCTATATGCCATTATTCTATACACCGTCATTCTATATCCCGTCATTCTATATCCCGTCATTCTATATCCCGTCGTTCTATATCCCGTTATTCTATATCCAATCATTCTATATTGCATCATTCTATACACTATCATTCTATATTGTGTCATTCTATATATTGTTATTCTATATTGCGTCATTCTATATCCCGTCATTCTATATCGCGTCATTATATTTATTATTATTTTATACACCTTGATTCTATATACCCCCATTGTATATACTTTCATAATATGTGCCACCAATCCACTGTATCCATTATGTGTGCCACCAATCCACTGTATCCATACCATGTGCCACCAATCCACTGTATCCATACCATGTGCTACCAATTCACTGTATCCCTAACATGTGCCACCAATGCACTGTTTTCATAATATGTGGCACTGATTCAGTGTATCCATAATATGTGGCACTGATTCAGTGTATCCATAATATGTGGCACTGATTAAGTGTATCCATAATATGTGGCACTTATTCACTGTATCCATAACATGTGCCACCGATTCAGTGTATCCATAATATGTGGCACTGATTCAGTGTATCCATAATATGTTGCACTGATTCACTGTATCCATAACATGTGGCACCGATTCAGTGTATCCATAATATGTGGCACTGATTCAGTGTATCCATAATATGTGGCACTGATTCACTGTATCCATAATATGTGGCACTGATTCACTGTATCTATAATATGTGGCACTGATTCAGTGTATTCATAATATTTGGCACTGATTCAGTGTATCCATAATATGTGGCACTGATTCACTGTATCCATAATATATGGCACTGATTCAGTGTATCCATAATATGTGGCACTGATTCAGTGTATCCATAATATACACTGATTCAGTGTATCCATAATATGTGGCACTGATTCGGTGTATCCATAATATGTGGCACCGATTCAGTGTATCCATAATATGTGGCACTGATTCACTGTATTCATAATATGTGGCACCGATTCAGTGTATCCATAATATGTGGCACTGATTCAGTGTATCCATAATATGTGGCACTGATTCAGTGTATCCATAATATGTGGCACTGATTCAGTGTATTCATAATATGTTGCACTGATTCACTGTATCCATAATATGTGGCACTGATTCACTGTATCCATAATATACACTGATTCAGTGTATCCATAATATGTGGCACTGATTCAGTGTATCCATAATATGTGCCACCGATTCAGTGTATCCATAACATGTGGCACTGATTCACTGTATCCATGTGCCACTCACATCATGTTCAATCCGTTTTCCAGCCTGCTCCATTATTCTTTTTCTTTTTCCCATTGGTTCCATACCACCTCTGCTGGGCGTCCATACCACAGTTCACCACTCATTTAAGTTTCCTCTATCTCCATCTTTATTTTACACCATTTCACTCTCCACAAGGGATCTTCCCTGTTAAAACCTCAGGAATATCCGTCTCACCTGTTATTTTACTTTGCTTTTTATCTGTTAATTTGAAAGTTACTGTCTTGCTTAAAATGACAGTAAGACTGCCATTCACACTGTAAGGCAATATTACGCTGGGCTAGGGGTCCCGTTTCTGTGCCCTTGCAGAATGCTGTGAATTGGGGTGTGTGAGTGTGTCCTAATTGCCAAAGAGGCGGCTGGAGAGGACATTGCATGTGGTGCTTTAAATCCGTTCCTGATATATATTAGATGATATTAGATGCTATAAGATGATATTTGATGCTATTAGATAATACTAGATGGCATTAGATGACGTTAGATTATATTACGTGATATTAGATGACATTAAATGACGTTAGATGATATTAGCTGACATTAGATGACATTAGATGTTATTAGATGATACTAGATGATGTTAGATGAAGTTAAATGATATTAGGTGACATTAGATGTTATTAGATGGCGTTAGATGATATTAGGTGATATTAGATGACACTAAATGATGTTAGATGATATAAGATGACATTAGCTGATATTAGATGAGATGTCAGGATAATTAGGGAATCAATACCACTCAGGTAGATTTGTAACTATCTGTGATCGTCAGGACTTAGCTTTCATGGAATGGGGATCACATTTAAATTACATACTGAACTCCCTGTTTGTTTATAAGGTTTAAAAACCTTGACAGAAGCAGAATCTGTGACTCTGAGATACTAAATCTGGAAACCTATCCACTTAGCTTTCTCATTAGCATCGTTTTGATTCCTTCATCCTCTGGAAAGATAAAGAACTGGGGCTGAACCAACACACAGATATGTATGTATATTGGTGGATATTGGCAGATATTGGCAGATGTTGGAGGATTTTGGCCAATACTGGTGGATGTTGCTGGATATCTGTGGATATTGACCGATATTAATGGATATTGGCTGATGTTGGTGGATATTAATGGATATTGGTGGATGTTGTAGGATGATGTTGGTGGATATTAGTGGATATTGGTGGATGTTGGTGGATATTAATGGATATTGGTGGATGTTGTAGGATGATGTTGGTGGATATTAGTGGATATTGACAGATATTGCTGGATGGATGTTGGTGGATATTTGTGGATATTGACCGATATTAATGGATATTGGTGGATGTTGTAGGATGATGTTGGTGGTTATTATTGGATATTGGTGGGTGTTGGGGAATGTTGTCGGATATTGGCTGCTGTTAGTTGATATTGTTTTTATTGGAGGATATTATCGGATCTTGGTGGATATTATGTGATATTGTGGATATTGGCGGATGTTGGAGAATTTTGGCCAATATTGGTGGATGTTGTAGGATGATGTTGGTGGATATTGACAGATATTAATGGATATTGCTGGATGTTGTAGGATGATGATGGTGCATATTAGTTGATATTGGTGGATGTTGCTGGATATTTGTGGATATTGACAGATATTAATGGATATTGGCTGATGTTAGTGGATATTAATGGATATTGGTGGATGTTGTAGGATGATGTTGGTGGATATTAGTGGATATTGACAGATATTAATGGATATTGGCTGATGTTGGTGGATATTAGTGGATATTGGTGGATGTTGTAGGATGATGATGGTGCATATTAGTTGATATTGGTGAATGTTGGTGAATGTTGGTGGATATTGGCTGCTGTTAGTTGATATTGCTTGTTATTGGTGGATATTATCGGATCTTGGTGGATATTAGCTGACATTGTGGATACTGGCGGATGTTGGCGGATATTAACGGTTGTTGGTGGATGTTGGGTGCTGGATACACATGGTGGGATTATGTTTTTTTGTATTTCAAAAAGTTTTAAAAGAATTGTCCCATTTCCAGCATTTTGCCCTTTATCCAGAACCCGCATTGTATGCTTGTTGAATAAACTGCGTTCTCTGTCTGTAACAGATAAACACAATCTTACGGCCATGTTATTATTTACCGTGTCCTTTATGTAATTCTGAGGGATATTATGTAGGTAAATGCAAATGTGTTCCACAGAAAGATAGTAAAATCCATTGTAGTCAGAGGGTTAATCCTTATAGTGCCAGTGAAGAAAGCAGTGTGCCGTGACTCACTGGGTTAAAGCTCCCTGCCCCTTATGGTGGTATTAAGAGAGTTGGGGAGGTAGTTTCCCAGATGGAAGGTAATTGATTATTGTAATAATTAGGGCCTTTGTTGGTTGGGTGGGTGCTCAGTTCCCACTTGCCAGGAGAATGGCTAAGCCAGGGGACCACTCCGAGATTCTGGTAGATGAATGAAACAGACGAAATAGCCTGGGGCTTAGCCAAGGAGTAAGATAAGTTTGGAGATTGATTGCTGAATAGGTATTGATTGCTGTAAGCGGCCGTTGCGTTAAAACCTCCACTAGTTCCCAGGTAGGGTGAGTGGCCAATCAGCTTTTGGGATGTTGAACTGTTTGTAAAGTTTTTGGTCACGCAGTGGGGAGTGGAGATCAACATGGAGCCAGGAAACTTGGGGTACATGTTGGGTGCCTCTTCTGTCATGTCCTCGTTCTTTCACTGTTGAAGACTCTGGTTTTGATTTCATAAGATTAATCCAAGCCCAGCTCCAATAAAAACATTACTTAAGATTTTCTCTGGCTGTTCATTTAAAGGAGTGCTTGTGAACACAAAGTAAATTCAAAGTGAATTTCAAATTTAAAGTCAAATTAGCAAAACTGGAAAATCTCTCCAAAACAGTTGTGCTTTCAGGCTTTTCTGGACTGTAATTTGAAATTCACTCTGAATTCTCACTTTAGTAAATGGCCTTGCCACAGTCCCATGACCCAGGTCAGGTTTAGTCAAGAAAATCTGGAGATTTCTACAAACCTTCCATTACCGACAGTACATACGTATAGTCACTAATTGAAAACAAAGGCAAGTAACTCACTCCAGGCATTCACAGAGTCAGGACAGAGATACCTCCACAGACATGGATGGGTTAATTAAAGAGGAAGAAGATAATTTAATACAGAGAGAAGAACTAGGAAAGATATGGTATTGAGAAGTAGTGTGTTGAAATACCAATCGAATAGTATAGACAGAGAACAGCCTTCCTGTGCAGGTAGTAACGAATAATACAGTCAACGGGAGTCTCTCACCCACCAGCATTATTATGTTCCTGAGATATATTAGATGATATTATGTTATCAAAAGTATGAGCTGAGAAAAAAAGAATTAAATGTAAAACTTCTCACCTCTTTATCCTGTAACTGGGCACCTCCATCTTAGCTCCATGTCAATCATTGTTAAAAGCTCCACCCATTGCACCTGGCAGTCAGCCTAGAGAGCGCGTACAAAGAAAGGAACTTTAACAATGTTTCAATTTCTCCTCTTTATTTGCATTGTGTGCCCTGACTGTGCCTTGTCTGAACTGGTAAATCTTCAATAAAAATTTAAAAGAAAACAGAGGACCTCATAAAAAAGGTTAATTGAAATTATAGGTAATTTTTTAGGTTTGTTTTGACTGGTGTAAATTCCAGCTTACATGATTCTCTATACCACTGAGAATTCTCAGTGAATTTCAAATTTAACGTCAGAGTAGCCAAATTAAAAGCATAGCTGACTCAGAGAATGTTTCCAGTTTCACTATTTTGACTTTAAATTTCAAATTCACTATGAATTCCTGATAATTCTCACGTTAGTTAATCACCCTGTCAGTGACAGTTCATATTTAAGAATTGAATAAGGATTTTGATATGTACGAGACTACGCCGAAGAACTAATCAGTAAAATCAGATATTTCGTAAAGGAAGCTAGATGGGCCAATCAGTTATCTGCCCCAGATTTCCTGTAAAGATCAATTCTGGGGCAACATTCTAGAAGTGGAATATTTTACTAGTTGCCATGGTGACCGCTCCACTTTTAGAATTTCACCCCAGTATTGTAATGAAGGAGGCTGATAAGGCGTCGCAGGACTCGGAGAGCTGGCTGAGATATATCTCGGTGTTTCACTCAGCCTACAGAACACAAAATCGACTGACACAGGAAGCCTCGAAACATACAGCAGACACTAGATGTTCTTGGCTCCATCAAAGGACGGAACACAATTTTCTATATTCTTTTTTTAAAACAGGAGATTTGTTTGGCTGATTTACAGAGAAGGGGGTGGTTGGGTCGTATTTTGAACAAATTAATTAAATCAATGTCCTGTGGGTTATTACCTCCAATCTGAAATAGATTTAATAAATGCTTATTTATGGGACTTGCCACACATTCTGATGGACCTCTTCTACATACCTCCCTCTGTCTAACCCAGCCGTACAACACTCCATTAAGATATTTAGAGAACCATGGAAGCCCTATTATTTGACAGACCTTGAAATGTGTAAATGCTTTCATGATTTAGTCAGAGTTTTCTATATTCTTTAATTCATTCATACAGGTTCTCTAATAAGTCACTCAATCTTCTCAACACAAGTAAAAATGGTATACCGGTAATTTATACACAGAGCAATAATTGTCATATTGATTTGAGATCTAGGAGTATAACTGCTGAGGAAGTGGCCCGTAATTAGCTTCAGAGTGTTCTTTAGAATTAGAATTTTAGAACACTGAGTACATGAATCCAAGTCCCATATTTCGTACGTAGTTCATATCATAGACAATGAATTGACCAAACTATAAGAGTAAGACCCTGTAGGACAGTGATTTGAGCAAGCAAGTCACAGAAATTGTGGGACCCGCATAGTGCAGGGATGGTAAGAATTTTATGCTTAACTCTTTCATTGTGGTTAATCAAACCCAAAATGTGTTTTCTCGGTCCTGGCAAGGTTGGTGAAAGGAACTTGTTCCCTTCTCACTAATCCCTGGACGCAGAGAACACGCGCTTTTAATTAAGGAAGCAGATTAGCCCCATCTGTCCATCAAAATAAACTGGGACACTGGTGAACAAGAGAAGCTTTCATTACTCGGCCTTCGTTGGCTTGCCATAGATTGCACTCAAAGGACGTATCAAGCTTGTGGTCTGCAGGGTTAAAACCACCTTGTGCATCCCAGCACCTTCAGCAAAAATACACCATATGCATCCTACCGTCCACATCATTTATACACTGTATGAATCCTACCACCCTCAGCATAAATATACGGTGTGTATCCCACCCTTCAACGCCATATGTTACTCCATATAACCCTCCCTGATCTCATCCTATCACTCCATATAACCCTCCCTGATCTCATCCTATCACTCCATATAACCCTCCCTATAACTTCTCCTATTACTCCATAAAACCCTCCCTATAACTCCTCCTATTACTCCATATAACCCTCGTATTATTTCATATAACCCTCCCTATTACTCCTCCAATTAATCCATATAACCCTCCCTATGACTCCTCCTATTACTCCATATAACCCTCCATATAACTCCTCCTATTACTCCATATAACCCTCCCTATGACTCCTCTTATTACGCCATATAACCCTCCCTATAACTCCTCCTATTACTCCATATAACCCTCTCCATAACTCCTCCTATTACTCCATATAACCATCCCCATAACTCCTCTTATTACTCCATTTAACACTCCCTAAAACCCCTCCTATTACTGCATATAGCATTCCATATAGCCCCTCCTATTACTCTATATAACCCTCCTATTACTCTGTATAACGTCCCTATAACTCTCCCTATTACTCCATATAACCCTCCCTATAACTCCTCCAATTACTCCATATAACCCTCCCTATAACTCCTCTTATTACTCCATATAATGCTCCCTATAACCCCTCCTATTACTCCATATAACCCTCCCTATAACTCCTCCTATTACTCCATATAACCCTCCCTATAACCCCTCCTATTACTCCATATAACCTCTCTCTATAACTCCTCCTATTACTCCATATAACCCTCTCTATAACTCCTCCTATTACGCCATATAACCCTCCATATAACTCCTCCTATTACTCCATATAACCCTCCCTATAACTCCCCCTATTACTCCATATAACCCTCTCTATAACTCCTCCTATTACGCCATATAACCCTCCCTATAACTCCTCCTATTACTCCATATAACCCTCCCTATAACTCCTCCTATTACTCCATATAACCCTCCCTATAACTCCTCCTATTACTCCATATAACCCTCCCTATAACTCCCCCTATTACTCCATATAACCCTCCCTATAACTCCTCCTATTACTCCATATAACCCTCCTATAACTCCCCCTATTACTCCATATAACCCTCCCTATAACTCCTCCTATTACTCCATATAACCCTCCCTATAACTCCCCCTATTACTCCATATAACCCTCTCTATAACTCCTTCTATTACTCATATAACCCTCTCTATAACTCCTCCTATTACGCCATATAACCCTCTCTATAACTCCTCCTATTACTCCATATAACCCTCCCTATAACCCCTCCTATTACTCCGTATAACCCTCCCTATAACTCCTCCTATTACTCCATATAACCATCTCTATAACTCCCCCTATTACTCCATATAACCTCTCCCTATAACTCCTCCTATTACTCCATATAACCATCCCTATAACCCCTCCTATTACATGAATATAACGTATCCCTATAACTCCTCATATTACCCAGCATAACCCTTCCTATAACTCCTCCTATTACTCCAAATAATACAGAAAGTATGGTATAGGTCCTCACTATTTCTTAAACGATGGATAGGGGCTGGAGATTACCACACAAGATTTCCCCAACCTTGTGAAGATATAGGAACAAAAAACAAGCAAAAAGGAGATAATCCATGCTTATGGTTTAGTACAACCTCATGTAAATAAAAGTATATACATACATATATGCACCAGAATCTTGTTTGTAGATGAATATCTTTAAAAAACAGAGACAGAAATAACAAACAATCTATGGTTCTTATCTGCCGTCACATTCTATGTTTCTATCAAGAAGTATTACTTTACTGAGAGGGTAGTGGATGCATGGAATAGCCTTCCAGCTGAAGTGGTAGAGGTTAACACAGTAAAGGAATTTAAGCATGCGTGGGATAGGCGTAAGGCCAGGATAAGGCTAGGGACTAATGAAAGTATTTCGAAAATTGGGCAGACTAGATGGGCCAAATGGTTCTTATCTGCCGTCACATTCTATGTTTCTTTGTTTAAGAGTAGTATATAGATTATAGTTGGAATAATATATTTCTATTGACAGCTCACTCACACTTTCAAAAGCTGTATATAGCTCTGCTGTTGAAGGCGTGGACGGTATAATCCCTGTCTAAGGATGTAAATATAGCAGTGGTGATGGTGCAATCAGCAGTGATGATGGTGCTTTTCTTTAGTAGAGTGTGATATGAAAAGACATCGACAAGAACATCTAGTAGTGTAATATGTTTAGTACTATATGTATCTTCAAGAAAAGTAAAAGGTATCTCACTCACATTTTTCAGAGCATGAACCTGCTCTAGTATGATGGAACTTTAGTGGTATTTTCCCCACTTGGGATATGCAGGTCCAGAATTGCAGTAAAATCCAGGAATCCAAAGAAGGAGTATAAAGTGAATACCAAATAAATAATAAAATTTACAGGAATAAACTTTATTTAACAAATAAAAAAGTATATATAAAATATATATTTAATCCTGGGGGCGGAGCCTGACCGCCAAGCTGAACAGATGTGGGGGGAAAGAGCTCCTGCCGGGCGGGCAGAAAACAGGGCACAATCGGCGGCTACATAGCCCAAAGACACACCAGGGTGCACTACCCATGTCGGAGCCTGTCAGAGCCGAGAGAAAGAAACGCTAGCTGCAGCCTGCTGGAGTTGGAGCCGGGGAGAGGCAGAGAGTGCCAAAGAGGGAACACGGGCAGCCATTCACCTTCTCACCCCCTGGAAGCCCTTGACCAGCTCTGCTTGAGCATCTGCACAACACTATGTGACACGGGAGTGACCTACCGTCCAGCGGCTCAAGTGGTGGCATCGTGAATTCGTCCTGCAACCCGCCTATACCATTATGGAATCCCACTCCAAGCCTTCAAAGTGGCCATCCGGCCATGCAGGCACCGAAAACCGCAATGGCGGGAAACAGAGTCAAGCAACCCGGGCGCACATACCTGCTCCCACACACAGGAACAGGACCGCCGGGCAACCCAGAAGTTCCAGCAACCCAGCCGAGCACAGAATCTCGGACCAGCAAGACACCACACTGCACTCCAGGGCTAAAGCTGTGTACCACGCCGCTGTAAAGGAGAAAACCACGCAGAAGCAAGCCGGAGCTGGACTCAAGCCCAGGGACTCCATATCGGTCAATGAGACTATCTACCTACAGTGGCCCACGTGTGGGGTTGGTTGACCCCAGGCTAACACCGATACCAACTAAATAGGCACTGCAGACTCTTCAGACTCTTTTTTTTAAATATATATCTATATTTAAAATCCAAAAAGGGTAGAGGCACACTTAATGCGTTTCACCATGGGGTTTCATCAGAACGGTCATTATTATTACTCCAAATAACCCTATCTAACTCCTCCTATTACTCCATATAACCGCTCCCTATAACTCCTCCTATTACTCCATATAACCCTCCCTATAACCCCTCCTATTACTCCATATAACCCTCCCTATAACCCCTCCTATTACTCCATATAATCCTCCCTATAACTCCTCCTATTACTCCATATAACACTCCCTATAACTCCTCCTATTACTCCATATAACCCTCCCGATAACTCCTCCTATTACTCCATATAACACTCCCTATAACTCCTCCTATTACTCCATATAACTCTCCCTATAACTCCTCCTATTACTCCATATAACACTCCCTATAACTCCTCCTATTACTCCATATAACCCTCCCTATAACTCCTCCTATTACTTCATATAACCCCCCTATAAATCCTGTTATTTCTTGCACTTGTTATTGATCGCTCTCCGGATGTTTGGATCCCATGGTTTATGTCCCGAGGGTATAAGCCTGTTACGGATATTTTTCTGTAAATGGCCATCGCTGCTTTGAAATAAAATCTCGCTAAATGGCTTCAGTTTCATAATTGTTCTTGGGTTAAGTGAATACACAGATAGTGTGCATGTTAATCCGCACCAATAAATGCCACGTGCTCGTTAATTACAAGGCTGCAGAGCCGAAAATAATGAGGGCACTGTGCTCCCCGTCCCTCTATCCACCTTAATTATAATACACAAGAGGATTAAGGCCCTGCTGAACCAGGACATTTCATTTATGGCCGTTCCCTCCTCATTAGGCAAATGGAGAGCGAGAGAGAGAGAGACTATAAGTATCCATAATTGGAAATCCCTTGTCTTGGGAGATTAAATGCCATATTGTATGTATAAGTGGCGCCCCTTTAACTCTGTGTCTAATAAATTGGGGAGCTATTTAATGCATACACCTAGGAGCACCCTGATATCCTCTGTTGGAATCACTTACACCAAACTGCATCACAACATCTTTTTTAAGATCCCACAAACCCAGCAACACCATAGCATCTTCTAAAAGATCCAACCTAAATCTAGCAGCACCCCAACATCTTTTATAAGATCCAACCTTAAACTAGCATCACCCCAACATTTTTTATAAGATCCCACCTACACTGAGCTGCAGTTCAATTTCTTTATATCTAATCTAAACCCAGAAGCACACCAAAACCACTAATCATATCCCACCAACTCTCAGAAGCACCCATACAAAATTCTATAGGATCCCGTCTGGACCCTGCAGAACCTCAAAATCTTAAAGTGATACTCCAGACCCCTAAAGCACTTTAGCTTGCTGAAAAGCTTTATGTGTAAAGAGTGTGTCCTCTTTTTTTTTTCATTTTACAAAAAGTGCAGATTTCAACAGAAATTTACAATTTTATAAAATAACCTGGCTACACCCCCTTGGCTTTCAAGCAGACAACAGGTTCTGTTACTTCCTGGTTTGGTTAGCTCAGTGGAGCTAAACTCAAGGGGCAGCAATTGGAACCACATACACACAAAAACATTATACAAAATCACACGTAGAACCTCTATTACCCCAATATATTTTACAGGAGTCAAGGTACATGTAATTCATTTAACCAGTACCAGTGTCACTTTGTGGATCACATGTGGTGTCATTCTCAATGCCATTATGCTTAGAACTTTGCCCGGCCCTGTGTGGGACAGTCACTATTAGTGCACGGGTGGTTTCACCATTGTTTGAGATCATTGTAATGGGGCAACATAAAATAGAATTTCCTTCCAGCCGTATTTGTTTATAGCACTGATGCAGGGATTTCCTGCAACAAGCCTTTCAACCAGAACTTTCCGCTATCTCTTTCATTACCGTATTAATATGGTGCCATGGGGAACCACCTGCTTTGCAGGCCCACATAGCACTTTGATAAGTCATCGAGAAGTTCATGTCTGGACCTTAAAACATTTTCCCAGTACTTTAGATCGTACTGGGAGTAATGAGATTCTTTCTTATCATCTTTATATGACTGACCAATAGTGATATCCCGAACGGTTCGCCAAACGGTTCGCCACGAACGGTTCGCCACGAACGGTTCGCCACGGACTCATCATTGAGTAAACTTTGACCCTGTACCTCACAGTCAGCAGACACATTCCAGCCAATCAGCAGCAGACCCTCCCTCCCAGACCCTCCCACCTCCTGGACATCTCACTAAGAATGCAGCTTCACAATGAATGTAAAATGGATGCTGTCCAGGAGGTGGGAGGGTCTGGGAGGGAGGGTCTGCTGCTGATTGGCTGGAATGTGTCTGCTGACTGTGAGGTACAGGTTAAAGTTTACTCAATGATGAGTCCGTGGCGAACTGTTCTTGGCGAACCGTTTGGTGAACCGTTCGGCGAACCGTTCGGGACATCACTACTGACCAACTATGCTTCCTTTATGAACTTCGTGTTGGATGTTTTCCTTCATTTGGATCAAAAACAGCAAGAAAAATGTATTGAAGGCTGAACCCAGTTGACTGGAGACTTTGTTTCAACCTATACTGCAATGTCACATTATCTCGATAGTGCCATATAGTAGGGATACGCTCCAGATGCTGCCTCTCCCTTGATGCTTTGCCAGAAATATGGTTGTAAGAGCATTATGGTAAATGTAGTCCACAACATCTGGAGTGCTGAAGGTTGCCTATCCCTGCTCCATAGCATTCACTTTACGGCTATTGATGCATCTACGCCCAATGGGGTCTCCAGACACATTAATTTTAGTTAATTACCTAATCTGTCCTTTGTGTTACGTAGTCTGTAGTATGTCTGTAACACTTTCCTTTAAATCCACAACCTGAGCAAGTGGCTTTTATCCTGTCATGTGCTGAGG